CCATGCACCGTACTCCATTGTGGGAGTCTTCTTCCTTGAGCTTGCCTTCAGTGAGATCCTTTTGCATGAAATTTCCCCACCATTCCCTTGGGGCTCCTCACGACTCTTATTATAACCCTTCAAATGCCAGTGATGGCTCTATCGGGTAACTCTAAGGCTATTATTATACTAGTTGCTACTGTCCCGTACTGTAAGCTAAGACGAGTACTTTGAGTAAGCTTAGAAACTGTTTGTTTACAGGTTGAACTACATGAAATTGTTATATTCGTCTCGAAATCGCCATGTTTTCATCAAGATTGTGATCCAAAATGTGAAGTGGTCGACGAGTGTAAGAGTAACAAGGCTTGTGCGAAACTATTGGGACTTCTACTGAGTAAGGTGAGTGGGCTGTTTGCTGAGAGGGGTACTCATGCACTTTTACGTTCGCCGACGTCCATTGACGTCGATCTCGTTGACGCTTTTCGTAATGACATTCCCACGCCTCATAACTAGAGATCTATGAATTTCCAAAATCGAATTTTGACATTAATATTTATTTATTCGAGGCATTAATAAAAAATTACCATGGAGGATTCTATATCACTCAAGAAGTAGAAATAACTTATCATCGAGTAATCTATCTACCACTCCAGAAGCAGGGACTTTACACGGGATGTTATTTTGCTGAGATGATGTAGTGGTTCTTCCCTCACACAGATTGACTTCAAGTCCCTTCTTGTCACTGCAAAAAAGCTTGATCGCTTTTCAAAGTACGAATTGAATGCACTTTTAAATGGTGATCTGTATTCATACTGATTGAGCTTGTGTTAATCCGGCGAGTGAACTTTGTCTCCCCCTGACCATAGAAAAACGCTGGCTATGCTCATTTTGGAAGTAAGTCTGGAAGCATGTGTGAAACGAGAAAATCCGTCACTCAATCGTTGAGTTTCGCGAGGCTCTCGGCGAAAGCAGTAAACTGAGAGGAGCACATGTGAGAGAATCGAGAGTATACTGGGTAATCCTATTGAAAGCCTCACGGAACTGGCCTTCTTAACGCTGAGCATTTCAATCTCTTCATAGAATATTTACTGGTCCTTATGTGAGCAGCGATCAGCGGCATGTTGTTTGTAAACAAAACCAGCATATAATTTCAAAGTTAAAGGATGCGAGAGTGTATGGACCGTCTTAAAAGCTACTGTAGACATCAAAGAAACAAACGCATTAACTAAAAGTATTGAGTAGGACCTCAGCGTAATCCAGTCTATTTTGCAATGAGAAACCCTGCATAGAGTCTTTATTCCGTCTCATCAAAACAACTGAATGGGTAACTGTCCGATCGCAGGGAAATTTAGCCTGGCGGAGGAAGAGTGGCTTAGATGGCCCTTCCATGTTCTCTGGAACTCATGTCCGATTTTGAGTACAAACCTTTGATCCGGTAATTTTCCAAAAACCCGTTCAGGTTCGGAAAGAGCTGAAAAAAGTGGATGTGAAGATGACTGTGAAATTCCTCTATCCTCATCTAAACCGAGGAGATCTCTACACGAAACAAGGAATTCTTTGCATGCTGCAAGCTGGAATAAAGGTATATTGTTAGCAAATCATGTATATTTACGGTTATTTACTTAATTATTACTTTGTTTCCTCATGAATTTCACAGTTAGGATTATAATTTCTCAAAACTTAGAGGTTCAATTCAAATCCACTTGTATTTTTGCCAAATGTGTGGTGAAATGGGGCTACCGCGGCCAATGAGACCGCGGATAGCCCAAATGGGCCATTATTTCTTTGAAAACTTCAGTTATTTTGCGGTAGAACGAGGGATGCCCTGCCCTAGTCACTTCTAAGCGAGAAAACTGAAGCCGAACTGTTCCCCAGATCGTTTACTGTAAATTCTAGAAGAATAGGATAAACTACAGACCCCAATCTACCACTATCAAAAAGTACTCCGCACATTTCATTCATATTCGGCTTCCATTTCACCTTATGAGAAGAACAAGGCATGGTCAACCTAGAGAATTTACGAAGAATACCCACAGCTACTCCTCCCACACATTTTATTCTGAGAATTCCTTCAGTTACACACATTTTATTCTGAGAAT